TTAAAATTGATGATTTTGGTTCTTCTCAAATGTGAAACGTGAACCAGACAACAGTTACGACGACAGTTCTTAAACTTTCGGTTTTAATCTAATTTTGGTTTTGGCTTTATTCCAGTTATGGTTCTGATTTTTTTTTTTTATTATGATTCCAATTCCTTAGTTATATTTAAACACATGTTGTTATAAAATTGATTCTAAAAAATATGACAACGAATGAAGGAAACAAAAAAAATGAATTTATTATATTGTCATGTGTAAGAAAAAAGAAAAATGATGCAAATTTTATGAAAAAATACTTCATTGTTGATTGAATTATATCAGTCTTGAATTTAGAATAATTATAGAATCTAAATTTACTAATGGGATGGGACAATAGATTGTGGGATTAGAATTAGGACGGCTGGTGTTGGGTGATGACTGTTGATATTAAATTCTAAACTAGTCAAATAGGTTCAGTATCAAGTGTTCGGTTTTGATTCAAATTTTTTGTTAAATCTGAATTTAAATCTTTAGTCAACTCCAGTTCTGATTTTCAAATTACAGTCCCAATTCCAGTTCAACAAATTATTGGTCGAATTTTGGTTCTACTCTAATTCAAACTTGAATCGTGACCATCCCTGCTTAAACCTTTATTAAAGACGCTTTTTTTCCCCCAAAAAAAGGCAGTAAATTATCTAGAAATTCTTGAAAAAAAAAAAAGTCTGCTCCGTGACATCAATTTACTATGGTACCCATGCCAACAAAATACATATAAAAATCACAACTATGACATCATTCAAGTATGTTTCGACCGGAGATTATTTGAAATAATTTATCATTTGGAATAATTAGTGTATCATTTTTTGTGATATGATGTATGTCAAATAAAAAGGTGATTAAAATGATAAAAAAATTATTAAAAAATGTGTTCGTGATATAAGCAAATAGTTTTTATTTTTTGTAAATTGCTACTACCCAAACACAACAAATATCCTTTATTCTACTATACATGCATACATTCATACATATATATATATATATATATATATATATATATATATATATATATATATATATATATATACACGCGCGCGCGCGATAAGATGCTCCAATAGGGCACCTATTCCATGTAAGGGAACTATACAGGCAATATTGCTCTATACAACAAACTGACTGCTTGTATGATTGTATGGAAGATGGAACAATAGGGCATAGCTCCTGTACAGAAGAAGAACCACTAGCTTAGTAGCATATAATTTCATTGTACATGCCTGTCTGCTACAAGACGAACTTTATTCAAAGACTCCTTAAATGCTTGCCAAGCAACCGTATAATGATCTTGAGAAGTCATCCCTTCCTCGACAACTTGCATGGCACGTCTGTACAAGTGATCAAACCATTGCACAGGATTGGTAACATCAATCACGTTTGAGCCAATATCAGGTGCATACAAGCGCTTAAAATCCTTCCTCCACCGTGATAGGATATATTGACTTGGGATATCCTCTATACCGTTATAGGTAAGAATCTGTAAAGCATGTCTGCACAGGTAACCTCTAAAATTGAAGCAGCTGCAAATACAGCGAACTTCTAATCCTACTTTATCATACATCACTTCAAAATTTCTTGCATTATTCATGTCTCCTTCAGCATCCCGTTCTTTTATCACGTATGTGATGATGGGGCCATTAGCATGAATTTGTGTCACGTTAAAACAGTTGGACATCAGTTCCAACTCAACTTGAAACTTCAAAAATATTTCTTTTGTGTACACTTCAGACAGCTGCACCTCATAATTGCACCTTGTTCTTAACACGGGTATATACTTTCTTGATTCCAAGTCATCAAGAGCTTCCTTCTGATGCTTCTTTTGTAAAACTAATTCATAGATATTAAAAAATTCTTTCAAGGTTGTCTGGCTATTTACATACCCATCGAAGAAAGGGCTCATGCAATCTCCTGGAGGAAAAGTAACTAGTCCCGCAAAAAATGTATCTTTCAAGTAAACTGGAGCCCATCTTTCTCGCTCTTCGTAATAAGTCTGAAGCCATTTATGATCTCTGAGTCCAAAGTGCTGGATCATTTCCTCCCAAGCCATTTCAAATTCATCAGCTTTCAGTGAATTGTAAACTGTTCTATTAAGTACATCTTGAAAGACTTTCGATGCCCCCACTTCTAATTTATCAAGAATGCTTTGCATGACGAGGGGCAAATATAAATGATGGTGAGTCCTGGGAAAAACCTCAGAGATTGCACTTTGCAAGGCCTTGCAGCGGTCTGTTAAAACTGTTTGTGGAGGACGTCCCGACATACATGAAAGCCATGCTCTCAGCAACCAAATGTAAGTCTCCATGGTTTCATCTACAAGGAAGCCACAAGCTAACAAAATAGACTGCAGATGGTGATCTACTCCAACAAATAACAACAGAGGAATATTGTAGCTTTTTGACAAACAAGTTGTGTCGATTGCTACCACATCACCAAAATAACCATATGCAGCCCTGGACCTGGAATCAATCCAAAGCACATTCCTCAAATGCCCTTCATCATTTAGATCCATAACATAGAAAAAATTGGGGTTTGTCAACTGCAACCGACCAAAAAAGTTCGATATATATTCTGCTTCGCCTTGATGAAGTTTCAAATGCTTGGACTGGTCAACTTGGTTCCCACTCTCTCTTTCATTTGAGCTTCTGTTGCCCACCGTATCAATTACAGGAGTACGATACAACTTGATTGTCCGTACTTCCACATCAACAGATGGTTCCAACTTCCTCTTGCTCCCTGGGTCCATCTTCTTGTGTGATTTACAGTTTTGAACCCTTTCAGGGTCAAATGGATGGTTATGTTCGATCTTCACTTCATCCACCCTCCACCTGTTGGACTCCACTAATCTCAACCTTATCATTGCTAGGCAACCGGTTCTTGTTTCCTTTCTTCTACTGCTTGCTTCTTTCATTGTTTTGAAACCTTCACAGTTACAACAGAGCACTGCGCCACGTTTCTCCTTGCTGTTACGTTTTGTCCACGAAGATTTAACCCTGATTGCAAATCCAAGCTCTTTGGCATAGCAGTTATAATAATTATAGGCATCATCATAAGATTCAAACTCCATCCCAACCACAGGTGGAAGATAGTCCTTTGCCCCAGAGACAAGATTCTGATCGTCTATGACTGTATCTCTATCTATGCCGTTGTCAAGGTTACCACATTGAATCTCAAGCATCTGTTCACTACTATGATCATGGCCATTCCTTTCAAAATCAAGCACCTGCATGTCATTCTCAAGGTCATCCCTGTTAATTCCAAGCATCTGATCAGCAGTGTTAGCTATATCAACATGTTCAATTGCAAGAACCTGGTTAGTGTCATCTCCAAGGTCAGTACTTTCAAATCCGAAGACTTCCTCCCCATCAATCTCTTGCTCGCTGCCTTCATCTTGGTGCAGTTGTTCGCCATCCTCTGAACTCCCTTCCATCTGGAGTCCGAAAGGACAAAAATAAGTCGACCAGAAAACATATTTCCCTATGTTTCAAAAACAAGTTTTTCAAATACAATGCTACAATAATATACAAACAAAAACAACTCAAAAAAATTCCATATAAAACTTTTTCATATACACTGTTATAGTAAAGTTTTTCAAAAACACTCCAAAAAACAGCTAATCCAAATGGAGCAATAGTAAACCAGTACAACAAACCACGAATGACAAACTAGGTGAATTTCAAGTAGCTACAACTATATTAAACTTCAATTCCTTGAACATTTCTCCAGTAAATTCAACAATCATGCCACAAATGATAAACTGAAGTAAAATTAAAATTCCAAGAATTTCTATTCTACTACCACTTTGGGGTTAAATAAATTAAGTAACTATACAGCAAGCAGCAAGTTACCCAGCTTTACTTTCAACTTTACGGCAAGCCCCATTAAAACGAACTCACACAATGCGGCAATTAAGCAGCTAAATGCTCTGAAACTCCACAATTTTCCGGGAAGAAGAACATAACCCCCCAAAAAAAAGATTTATTAAACAATGATCCAACGTAGACAGCATAGGAAACGTGATTAATCGATAAGAGAGGACAAATAAGAGATTCTTACGGTGATTTCAATATCTGGGTTCGGCGATAAGCCCTCGTCGGCCGGAGAAAAATTGTGGTCGTCCGTCATGGTTGAGGTAGGAGCTGTCACGTGACTTGTGTCAAAGTCGGGCAGGTTAATGTTCTCTCGACCTAGTTCAACTTTTTCTTTATTAGTTATTGGCCCTTGTATTTTGTTGGTTTTACGCAAAGCGTAGGCCGAAGCATAAGAGCAGAGTAAATGAACACATTTAAGGCAAGAAGTAGAATTGGAACATCATCAAAGCGTTAGGGTCTTATATTGGAAGTAGTAGTAACAAATATAGAGGTAAATTGATTGATCTAGACATAAAAACAAAAAGTTGGTAATAATATGCTATAAAATGTGGTGAGAGAAGAAAAAATATTAAGCATAATGCAATCATCTATAATGATTAAATTATCTCTTCTTTGGCAATTAGAACATTATTTCTCTAAAATTACTTATATATATATATAACAAAGATACATAAAAAGCTAAAAGAATTAAACAAATAAAAAATTGCAAGCATGAAGAGAGTGATATTTATGTCTATTAGTACATGTATTGTTAATGTATACAAGATTAGTCTCTTATTTATTAAGATAACACTTCAATTAAATACGTCTTTGAACGAGAAAAGGTACTTAAAATTACCTTAACATACTTGTTACTGGCTAAGAGGCAAACAGTATTAACAACGTTGATGAATGGAAAAGAAATAATCTTTAAATAGTCCCAACTGAAAAGAAATTAAGTTAATAACACAAGATTTTTGCAATTTCACTTGCTCAAAATATTCACTAACTTCCTTAGGGGGCACTGTGAAATCAATCAAAAGATACCACTTTTTTGTGAGAACTTCAATAGTATGAGGTGGAGCTTTCAAAAGTTTGAAAAGGCAGATTAAGTAGTCAGTGGTGTTGGTTATGCTCAAAATTCCCTCCACTCTCTCAACCTCATATCATCAAATGGCCTTCTTTCTGGGGTCTCCTCCTCCACCAACTCGCCTGAACTTCCAAGCTTCCTCATCTTGCTCCACCTCCTCATCTTCCTCGCGGTTCAACAGCACCGCTGGACGTGTCCATGGATTTTGGACTAGTAGAAGCAAAAGAAAACCAAGGTTTCCTAAAATCTTTGCCAAAGCTTCAGAAAAGGAGGACAATGACAAGCCAGCATTCAACCCTTTTGGATTTGTCACCGATAATCCTTCCAGTAAGAGTGCTATTCAACTCCCTGAATCCCCTGCCGAGGACGGCAATGTCGGCCAAATGCTTTCCGTAAGCAACTCCGATCTGCTTTGCTGTCAATACTACAGCAGTCTTTTTGGCCTTTGTATCTTAAAATGTGTATGCACATTCTAGTAGTTATTTGTAATTTACGTTTGTTTTGGCATTTTCGATGAATGCCTTAATGCCTATGCCCTAATAACTTAGCAGTCTTCCCCGCTTTAGCAACTTGAACAACTGAAATCTTGTCTCTGCCCCACTTTTTAGAAAGTTACAGTGGACTTCGATGTGAGCATAAAAACTGTCATGTCGGCTAAAGATTAGACGCTGCCAATCAAGATCTTTGCATTGAAATTTCCATGTAGAACCTTGAGCTAGCTAGGATTGTTGGAGTCTTGTGAATTGTGCAATTTTATTGTTTGTAAATCTCTCTCTAATGTTTGTTTGAAAGGGAAACAAAAACTTGTTGGCCTTTCGAATTAAAGCTGAAGCACCTCGAGTGCAACCTGAATAGAAATCACCACTTAAGGACTTGAGCTTATCAATCTATATCTCATTTTAGAAGGACAAAACTTATGCAGCATCCACAATGTCATGCTTGCTGCGCAAGGTGATCCCAAAGGCAAAAGTGAACAAGAAAAACTGCATTGGACAGTAACTCCTTATAAATCTTCTTGCTGATTTTTTTTCCTTCTGCATTCGAATTATATTTTCTGTTTAAGAAGATGCTTCCTGTGAGAAAGGTTAAGGTGTGGAAGGGAGATATCTGCATCGTCTTTCCAGTTTGTAGAGAAATGCTTCATTCAGTGTGATGTGATGATTTAGCATTCAGGGGTTAATGTACTTGTACTCCTGTTTACAGAGAATAGAAGACAAAGGAAGGGAATATGGCTCATACATCAAATCTGGAGGGCTAAGATGGTTTGTGAGAGAAACAGGTCAACTATGCATTTTGCTGCTGTTGGTTATTTTCTTCTACAGGACTCAAGAAAATCTGTCTGCCCTTTGCAGGGTCAGCTGCAAGCAGACGTGGAACCATTGTGTTTCTTCATGGGGCTCCAACACAATCTTATAGCTATCGTAATGTCATGTCTCGGGTCAGCTTCCTCTCTAAGCTAAACCTAAGGTTGTATCGAACTCTGTGCAATCAGAAAACCAGGATGCTACTGCAGCTTAAGTTTTTTGCCTTTTTCCAATTTTCCTCTTTATTTCACTTTTATAGTTCTGAGTTAGCCAACTGTTTTGCGCCTGTACATGTCTTTGAGAACTTGGCACATTTCTAAAGCAACAAAAAGTATTGACTCTAGAGAAGAAAAATTTTGTCGTACTTTAGTGAACTTATAAATCTGATAATGCAAAAGGAAAAAGAAAATTACAAAAGAATGCACGGTTAGCAATCAGAAAACACTACAGTGCTACATTGGTAAAATTATACATGTTTGAGCAAGTATTTATCCATTTATTGTTGACACCATCTTACATGGTGGTTTATCATTTCATCTGTGTTAATCTGTGACTAACATCTTTGTTTACCAGATGGCAGATTCTGGGTTTCACTGCTTTGCACCAGACTGGATAGGATTTGGGTTTAGTGACAAGCCACAGCCTGGATATGGTTTTGATTACACTGGTTGGTAAATTTTGCAAAGATTCAGATCTGACAGTATTAGAGAACAATTTTATGTGGCTCTATTGCTTCGTTTCTGAGATTATGAGAAATTCATTGTGACAGAAAAAGAGTTCCATGACGGATTTGATAAGTTACTAGATGTCCTTGGGGTCACATCTCCATTTTTCCTCGTTGTTCAGGTTAGAAAAGGTTTCATCAAGCTAAAGATCTATAGAAGTGATATTCTTATTGGTACATGCAAAGCAACACGTACCCTCAAAAAATTGTTTGATATTTAGTTTTTAATGTACATCCTACACTGCAAGTTTTGATTGCTCAAGAGTTGCAGGATTTGCCGTGGTGTATGAATATCATGATCTAACGGTAGTCAAATCACATTTCTAAACTCTCCTATTATCATTTTTGCGCAGGGATTCCTTGTAGGCTCTTATGGATTGACTTGGGCTTTAAAGAACCAAAATAAAATATCAAAGCTGGCAATTCTGAACACTCCATTGACAGTTTCATCTCCTATTCCTGGACTCTTTAAACAGCTCAGGTTTAATTTTTAAGTGTTGAGCATTGGTGTAAATTCATCAAGCAGTAACTTCGTTAAAAATTGATGAGTCAAATTATATTCTTCATATATAAATCTGGAGATGTTGATTTTACTCAATTAGTTTGAGAATCTATCTAGTGCGTCAACGAATATTGTCTTCTTTGAATCTCTCATAACATGTTGTCTTCTTTTTTGGGGGATTAAGTCACTATGGTTAACCACTAATTTGTTTAGGTTTGGAAGATAATATGCATATGTGACCCCCCCCTCCCCCCTCCCCCCTCCCTTTTCCCGGCATCCCCCTCTGTAGCATATTCAAACAGAAGTTTAGTGAGTTGACTTCAGTAATATTATACATCTTTTGTACGTTTCAACTGAGACTTGGATTTTCATGAAGTCATCCTACTGTATAACAGTTAAAAGCAGTTAATTCAGAATAATTGACATTACTAATTCTTGGAAGCATCTGCTTCCAGATTTCTCGTTAGATACACCCAAAAAGTAATTATAGGAAACTCAGAAGCAGCATATTGTCTGGCTAAACATTCCACGTATACCTGCTTCTGATGCAGTGACACTTTGGAAGAAAATTAGACAGTGACGTACTTTCTGACCATATGGACATGTTAATTGAACCCCTCAGTATGTTGTTTGACTGTATTGATCCATGCTTCTTGTTCTTGGTGAAATGGAAAAGGAGAGAAGTGGAGAGGTCAATCTGAAAACAGTTGATAACTGCCCTTTTACTTTTAACGTCAAACATCAAAAGCAACAGGCTGACACGGAAACTCTCTTTTCTTCTGCATCGGAAAAGAGTGTAAAGGCTATGTCATAGAGAGCTTTTGTTGATGATATGCTTTCATGTCTCATGGCCATTTTCTTTCATTCGGCTTATAATCCACAATTTGAAGAAAGTGGTTGACCTGTTTCCTTAATAGTCTACAAATGGTTTATCCACGGTTTGATTGCCAATACTTATTATGCTGATGAAGAAATGAACATCATAAAAAACAGAGATGCTGCCATATTTTTTCTCGAGGATCTTGTTTGCTATTCAAAGTATGGTATACTATGTTGTCTTAATTCTGTATTATACGCCACTAAAGCTTATATAGTATGTTCTTAGAAAGTATGCTTACATTACCGTTTCTTTCCACTATCTCTGTTATCTATAGGATTCCATTCTTGGGTGAGTTCACTTGCCAGAATGCTATTATGGCTGAGAGATTTATTGAAGCAGGTAGCGCGTATGTATCTGGAATTTGTTCTGGAAGTAACATTATAGATACTTTTTATTGAACTACAGTGAGATAGATTGTAACTTTGTATGGTAGGGTATGTTGAAACTTGAACGAATAATCTCAGAAAAGTATAACAAATCAAAACAGAAGATAAACCAGCTCTAATGGGATAAGAATTTGCTCTGGCCATCTTGCGTTACACATATAATGTCCAACAGAACATCCAAAATTCATGTATGTAAGTTATACACATTAAGCATTATGAAACTGGAAACGCTGTGCCTTTGCCTTTCTAGGCTTCCAAAACTAACTAGATCTTCGCATTTTTCTTGATTCATTTTGTGCTCTTTTGTTTTTTTAAACACGAGACCGGCTTTCATGGCAGTTATGTTTTGAAGCTGGAGAAGGCTGAGGTGTACAGATTACCATATTTGTCAAGCAGCGGACCCGGATTTGGTCTGGTTTTCACTCTAATCATCATGCTTCCTCTTTTTATTGAAAATGAACATGTTGGATTACCAGCTAGTCTTTCTCAGTTCACTGTTGCTATGACACTAAAAAGCATCATTTTTTTTTTGGAGCAAAAATGGTTTCCTCCGAGATACCCTCTCGTAGTAATGTTCTCTTGTATGTTTTGGTTTCCAGCACTGCTTGAAGCAGCAAAAAAAGTGAACTTCAATGAGTTGTTGGGTGAAATTTCATGTGGGTTTGCTTCAGGAAGGTAAATTTATGTATTTAATTTGTAATAGTGTTAACAGGAGTTGCAAATCCCTGTTATGTTTGTACGCTATGTATACCTACCTGTAAAGTATACCTTCAGGTGGAGAAGTCATTGCAGCTGAATGTAGCTAACAATGAATTAAACCAAGCATGTGTTTTGAAGTGAAGTGCAAAATCATGTTTTTGAGTAACTAATAGGCTGAAGCAAAAGTGTTAGGGGAACTTTCGGTGCTGCAAAACCGCATAGAATTATTCAGCAATAATCATATACACTACAGCTGATTGGGCCTGCAATTCTGAAAGTCGTTGAATCTAATGTTATCAAACGAAACCTTTCCACAGCAAATTTTCAAATCTTATACTGATAGCTTTTGTTGTTTAAGGCTGTTAGCACTGCTTTTGTTGTGCTTTTGACACTGGAATGATCTGCATACTGATTACAGGTGGGATAAACCAATCTTAGTTGCATGGGGAATATCGGACAAGTATCTTCCTCAATCAGTGGCAGAAGAATTCCAGAAAGGAAATCCCGAGGTTGTCAAGCTTGAGTTAATTGAAGGTGCAGGTCATATGCCGCAAGAGGACTGGTATAAAACTCAAAACTCTTTACTCAACAAAATTCCCGCTACGTGCTTGGTTTTTATTGCTGTTTTACCATTAACAGGCCAGAGAAAGTTGTTGATGCCTTGAGAATATCCTTCTGAACCGCAAGGAGCCAACCCATTGCGTACATCAACGACAAGCCCCCATATGTGACTGAACCTTGGAAACTACTTGGGGAAATGTACTTTATTGGTTACCGCAATTCTAAATTTAACATCAAAAGATCGCATACAAGTCAAATGTATTCTTAGCTAAAAGCTAGATTCCGCCTATAGTCATTTCTTGTTTTACTGCTTCCCGTGGTGGGGATTCACAGTTATAACTGTTGGGAAGGTCCAACTTAAGGCTTCATTGAATTAGCTAAATTGCCAATCATTCAAAAGGAGCATCTACAACTTCCTACAGAAACTTAATCATCAAAGTTTCTACGGCAGATCAAAACTAAAATGAGCATGAAGGGAATTACAACAGGTTTGAGGCACTGTAAATTCCTTACAAAAAGCAACAATACCATGCTTGGTACCTGATCCCTATTGTTTCAGAATAAGGGTAGGGAGTATAGACAAATCACAAGTGACGAATGCATATCATCAACTATTATACTTTCTTCCTGGTCAACCTCCTGGTCTGACTGGTATCAACCTTTTCCTTGGGTGCCTTCTGAGCCTTGGCTTCTTTTCCATTTTTCTGATTCCCATCGTAATTTTTGTCATCATCACTTTCAACTGGCTTTCTTTTCCTAGCAGAATTTTTCCCTGTATCTTTCTTGAACTCAATTCCACTATCATCTTTGCAGCTTCCCTTGGGCATACTTCTTGCAGTAAGTTTCTTATTTCCATTTTTCTTTGGATCTTCATCGCCATAGTCTCCATCATTATCATCATTGGAATCATCACCAGCCACATTGGGACTTTTCTTGGGCTTCGCTTTCACAGGGGCATTTGTACCTCTAGCAGCCTTTTTCCCTCCTATCACTTTGGATTTTCTAGTTTTTGCATCTTCCTCACTTTCTGGTTCATCATCATCATTATCATCACTACCAACACCTTTTTTAGAATTTTTGGTGTTTTTAGCTGAGCTTTTCTGTGGTTTACTTGCTTCTTTTGCAGCTTGTGCTCCCCCGAGTTTTTGAAGTTCTGGCACGTAAGCTGTCGTCTGAGGTAAAAGCAGCAGGCAGCTTCAGATAAGATACAAGAATATCATAATCTACAAGTTGCAAGAAACATACCCTGCCACCAGCATTGATAAACTCAATTTTCTTCCCTGGCATAAAGAGAAATTTATTATTATCCCAACGGTACACCACTCAAAACAGCTAAAGATTGTATGGTAATAGATGCACAAGACCAAATCTAAAAATCCCGCTTTTGTTTTCCAAATCAACGCATGCTTGGATAAAAGGAAAAACTACTCTCTACTCACTACTATAATCAGGAATTCAAGAAGAATAAATAGAAAAATTGTGGCACAACAGTGATGTGGCACAATTCAGGGCCTCTAGTCAAAGTTTTCCTTTGGTTAGCCTTCTATTACACAGGGCTTAAACTGGAAGTAGTGTAATATCAATATCTTGAAAAGTTGTGGCTTATCCCAACACGTTAAAGCACAATAAGCATTTATCGATGACACACGCAAGATACCACATCAGTCAGGAGTCAAACCATCAACAAAAGCCTTGCCAGGCTTCTTTTCCCGGAAATGGAATATCCAATTACTGGGAAACTGATTACTATCTGCCCCGACTTCAATAGCCTTTCCAATCACCTGTAAAATGGAATGTATTGTCAAGATGATGCATACTCTTAAATTATCTCACCCTTAACTTTTCCAGGCTTTTTCCCCCACCGATAATGAAACAACCATTGACGAGGGAAAGAACCGCAGTCAGCATCAACTTGTACAGCAAATTGTATAACCTAGAAGTATAGTCTCCATAGCACGACATGAATAATGAATTCTCAATGAAACAACCTATCAAAATAGAAAAGAAAAAAAATTTAAAAAAAAAAAAAAAAACTTGTGACATTGGATGGTCACCTCATTAATACAATTGAGCAATGTTCCACAGACTTCTATGGACATGCTGGAAGCACTTTGCAGGGGATGAATTTTAGCCTGTTCACAAATAGACACACAGAAAAAAATAAATAATGAATAAATAAAAAAAAACTCCCACTATACGGCCAAAAAAATAATATGTACTAAAGCCATGAATATGCAATTCAAATTTCAAAACAATTAGCAGAAACTTAACTGGAAAATGTAGAAAATTCTCATCTTAAAAGAGCATTATCAGACAAGAGAAACAGAAAACAAAGAAATCACACTTGTACATGATTCTATTATGCCTAAAATTTTCTTTATTATTTTCCTAGAGGGATGTCATGCACAAAAAACGTTCCAGAGTTCCCCGTGTAACTACAAAATATATGCAACCTAAGGTTAGAACCAAATCCCAATGAACTGACAAAAATGATAGACACTCACCTGATATAGAACTTCATCAGCAACCCAGTTGCCAATTCCTGAGATAAAACCCTGAGACAAAGCAGTTCAAACATCTACCAGTTGAAAAGAGAATAATTACATTCACTAGACATGTTTTAAAGATACGTTGAAACAGCATTAACCATTCTCATCGTACACCGAACAAACTGCATCTGCACAGCTAGAATACGAGCATTACAAAGAACATTCAATAGTGGAATGTAAGATATTAATCAAATCCCACTAAATCATCTTATAAACATGTTTGTCCCCCAAGACTAGAATGACCATAACATCCTCGTAAAAAAGCGCCCCCTGCTCTCTCTATTTTCTAAATACGTTTTTCACAGTAAGTCCATCTTCCTCGTAACTAAATTTTTGGGGATATGATAGATTAACCAGGAGTCTACAATGGGAAGCAAGTCTCAAAAAATTCAGTTGCTTTACTAAATAACACCCACATTTGTCATTTACTTTAAGAATCTTCTAACTACATACTCTAACAAGACACAATGAAACAGTATCCCAAAAATATCAACCATCTTAAGTTGCAAGGTAATGTGTATTGGCAGATTAGAGGCCAAATAGTAGTCCAATCAACATTTCTGTTACACAATCTTAAAAGGTCCACACAAGTGACCAGAGGGGTGCAGAAGCCAAAAATATGCATTCCATTAACTACTTCAGCATCAATTTCATCAGTATCCAGAAAATAAAACATCAGTTAGTCAAGATGGAGACCATTTATGGGTAATTCAAATAATTAACCCACTACAAAAATATAACAAGGATTTCATAATGATAAAACAATGTAAAAGCAAACAATCACACGTATCCAGGATTATTGTCATTCTCTATTATTCTGAATCTCAAGCTGAAAGCAAACTTTTTAACCTGATCAAGTAAAAGAGCCTTGATGCCTAAATTCTTTTTACTCAACAACTTATGGAACTCATCTACAGCCATAGGCTCCAGCAATGCATCTGGACCAAGTTCAGATATTGGTGGTACTGCAACAGGCTGCAAAAGTGATCCATGATCATCATTTCAATGGAAACCTGCTCTAAGAACAAAAGCACATACAACATTGCGAAAATAAGACAATGAGTATTCGAATACATTGTCAAGTAAGCGAACTCTTGCAAAACGCCTCTTATCAGTGAATGAGAGCTCCAAACCATCATTTAACTGCACAAGAGAACAAGAAGAAACCCACTGTGTAAGAAGAAATACTTGCAAAATGAAAGAACATTCTTTTCCTTGGCATGATTACAAACTTTGACAGCTAAACATGATTTTTCGTTAATTCAGATACAACCAAGCAACTGAGAAATAGATAAATTAAGCATTGAAATATCAGACAAGATTTTTCTAACTTTAGAAGATGGATAGCAGATAAAGACTTAAAACTCCCTAGGGAAAAGTTTACATTTAGAAAAAAATTTACAGATGTTAGGCCAGCATTTTCATTGTTAAGCTGAGAGGTTTCAGACAAAAATGACAACAACATGGCAAAGCTGCACTAAAGAGCATTAACCAGGCCCAATATCTTCATGCATGCTCCAGAGAGATGGTAATAGGCTACTCATTCCACACAACCCAGGAATAGCTTCTGGTATTCTGAAGCAGAAAAACTAAAAGGTCAGAAGTACTTCGTGAGTTTACCAACCAAAGTCCATCTCAGGCATATGACAAGGACATACAGTTTAGGTTACGTGGACTCGCCTACAATAAGCCAAATATGCATGTTGAACGCTTAACATCCAACAAGGACATGAAATATGGTTTGACAAACCTATATAATGCTGTAAACCTAGCATGATATATCATTGTTCAAATTTTACATTCTTTCTATAGTAAAGTCTACTGCTAATTTATGGTAGGAAGTAGCAGTTGCAGTTCAAACTTAAAACCAAAGCAGGCAATAGTTTGATTAATATGAGGCAGCGATGCTGCTTACCTCAACAAAGAACTTGGAATACTTCGAAGGCCACTCATCAGTGTCTTTTACAGAAGACCTGCGAGTAATAAAGCAATTTATCCTCATCGGTACACAAAAGTTTTGAAAAAGAGCAACCATATCTGTAACAAAGTCCAATAATAGAAAAGTTCTTTCATTAGTATCAAGTGCAACTTAATTAAGCACAGGAGAAGATATGATTGGTTTCCCATGTTTCCTCCACACAAATTAATGAAAACAGGAAGGAAAAACAAGAATGGAAGGACTTAGTTCAGAAAAAGAACATAATCTGAACCTTAACTTCCACAATCGTTATCTTAGTGCACTCCCCAATAATCACCTATTTCTGTTTTTCCATTGACTCAGCCAATTTACTTCTGTCTTCTGATCTCCGTCTTTATCTAAATAATAAAATTGCAGAGCCTCGAACATGCATATACAGATCTGTATCCGCAACAATCTTAACATCAAAAAACCATTTTGACAGAAATCACGCAGCAGCTCACGCAGCAGCTTAATTCCAGAAAGAACAGCATTTTCCCGGGGAAAAAAATTTTCAAAGCTTTCCGCACAACATCTTATAAAATTACGAGATACAAGATTATCACTTTATAAACTGGGACCTAAACAAACCAAATAAAGAAGAGCAAGAGCAAGAAAAAACTTTTCACCTTTTATAGTTAGTAACTGCAACTCCCTTAATATATATCGCACCAGTCATCCCTTTAAACAAAAACACAAAAATGATAAACAATTTAAAAAAATAAAAATGTTAACTTTACTGCTGCATGAGCTTTAGGGTTCCTAGGGAAATGGGATTGTACCGAACTGGAAAGAGGGAAAAGGA